GAGCAAGACTCCATCTCAAAAAAAAAAAAAAAAAAAAAAAGTGAGAAAATAAATTAAACAGCTTAGCTTATTCAATGTCATATTGATTTGATATAACCTAAAAACACTTGATCTGAAATAACAACATTCTCTTGGTGTCTACCTTTAAAAAATATATTTGGAACTGGTTGCTCAGAAGATATATAACCACTGAACAACAAAGTTGCGTTAAACACATACATATACACAAGGGGGCTACTTCTCTGGTATATAAAATAACCTCTAGCAAATTTGAAAGCTTAGAAGTCTTAAAGTAATACATGATGATAAACTTTTTTTTTTTTTTTTTTTTTTGAGATGGAGTCTCATTCTGTCGCCCAGGCTGGAGTCCAGTGGTACAATCATGGCTCACTTCAACCTCGGTCTCCCATCAGACTCAAGCAATCCTCCCACCTCTGCCACCGAGTAGCTGAGACTACAGGTGTGTGCCACCACACCTAATTTTTGTTATTTTTTTTGTAGAGACAGGGTTTCACCATGTTGCCCAGGCTGATCTTGAACTCCTGGGCTCAAGCAATCTGTCCGCCCTCGGCTCCCAAAGTGTTGGGATTACAGGCGTTTGAGCCACTACACCTGGCTAATATTAACCAATATTTATTGAATGATATATACAAATCATTATGCTTAGCACCAGAAATACAAAGAAGTATTGGACTTAACATTCCCGTCCTACAATTAAACTGCAAATGGTGGCCAAATAATTGGGCCACAACGTTGAACAAACTAATGAGTATTGCATACAATCAGTTTTAACAGACTAGTAGTAGGAATTAAACACAGTGAAAAAGGAAAAAAAAGGAAAGCCTGGGAACACATCTTAACATTTTATCTTATGACTTGTCTCATCTTTTATAGCAGCTTACATTTTTTTAAACAGCGGGCATAACATCTGAGTGGAGGTTTATAGAAACTACAGGAGAAAGGGCTGATGTTCACCCCGTATTTCAGATGAGGAAAGTGAAGCTTTCAACGAGGTTACGCAACTTTCCTAAAATTGCAGTTCAGAGAGCTGCCTTGCCGACTTTGTCCAGAGCTCACTTCTATTGCACTAAATTCTAAATTATCAGTGCTAAAGTGAGAACTCGAAGGGACCTCAGAAATCTCCTAATGGAGTGTTTCCCTAACCAATCTGATAAACTTTCTGGGATATACATTAAAAACCCATTCCCAGGACCCACTGCATATCTACTAAATAAGTTAAATGAGAGAGGTTTTATATTTTCACAAGAGTCTCCAAGAAGTAATTCTAATGATTAGTTATGCTTAGAAAACACTGTACTATGTCTGTATGTCCAGTATGCCACACATTTGGCTACTTAAATTTACATTCATTAAAACAGCAAAATTAAAAATTGAGTTCTTCAATTTTTAGTTCCACCAGTTACATTTCAAGTGCTCAACAGCCACATGTGGCTAGTAGCTACCATAACTGGAGAGCAAAGATTTAGGAAATATCCATCCTGCAGAAATTTCTATTGGATTATGCTGATACTACACCAACCCTTCAACTGCCATGAGAAAACAGAGGCACAGGATCTTGTCCAACAAGGGCCATAGAGCTCATCAGTGGTAGAATTGTGACATTAACCTCACTGCCAGCACCCTTCCTACTGTATTACTTCATCCTATCTTATACTCAGGGTTTGTTCAAATAGGAATTATTTCCCTTTTCACCTTTTATCATGGGTTCCAGCAAAGCAAGAAGAGAAATTCTAAATTTGCGGGTAAAAAAAATCTTTAAGACAAGGTTTATTAAAAAATAATGATTAAATCTATCTGCAATTTTTGCATAAATTCAAAAGTCATCTTGGACAGTTAAGAATACTGTGGTGTTAGAAGACACATCTTAGCTTGTTTTAACTATTGTAAGTCCTTTCTCTTTTATTGTCCTGATGGTTTTATTCTCTTTCTTGAATTTTGAAACCCTCAGACTAATGATACATAAGTGTGAAAGGTTATATCTTATTTAGCAAACATTTTAAAGATGAAAAGCTGAGAAACAAAGAGCAACCCAAAGAATGTCACTTGTCTGTCTAATTTTCGAATGTGGTTACTCAGACTACTGAGCACTCTTGGCTTTTAGTAATTCAGTGCTTTAGTATTTATACTAATATGTTTTCACTTTTAAACTATATTTTCCTTTGACCACTGTTATGTTTGAAAACAATTTAAAGTGTTTCAATTTTCAACATAATTTGAGGGACTAAAAGAAGCACTAAAACATCTAGAAAGATTTAGATAATAAGGTCAACATATAATCAGCTTTAAAGAATATGGCAGTGTCTTAAAAATAAAACCAGTTGTTCCTGTCTAGTATGTTTAGAATGCAAATGTCTCCAAAGTCAGTCAACTTAAGTCATGACAGTTCATGTTTAAAGTACGCAGGAAAACAACCTGGAACTCCTTATTAACTGAAATGTTAAAAATACTATTATTACAGCTCTATTGATTCTTTTTTCACAAGCTGAATTCTAGTGAGTAGATTTAGAGGAAATATTTTATGTCAAACGTTACAGAAAGTTAGAAATTGGATGGTTAAAAAACATGACGCAACAACATAAGGCACTATGAACAAATACTTATTCAAGACAGATGTTACCATAATTTGCAAGGTACTTACAAGCATTCAGTATGGGGTTCTAGATAGAAGCTACTTGTTATTCAGAGAAGGAGGTGATGCAAAAAAAAAAAAAAGCACAGCTATTTTCCTTCTAAACACTCTTTGGTGTTGAGGTAAACAAACGAAAAATAAAATAACCGTCTAAGTACACAAGAGCAAAGCAATAGTCTCTAAGTTATAAAAGGAGGAAAGAAAAATTGAGTCTAACCTTTTAAATAGGAGACTGGGGCTTAAGGTGAAATTTATTTGCTGGCTTTTAAATCAGATGCATTATTTCTACATTATATCTGTTATGTCTTGACCCCCCACTTCACCATATTAGGGAGAAACAGGCACATCCAAGACTCTTAGGCCAACAAAACTACTTTTGGAGGTAGCACAGCTCACCAAATGAAGGAGAATGTTAAAGAAAACCCAGTGACAATAGTTTCAACTGACCTGTCTCAACCAGCCAGGGATAAGTACTGGTGTATGCTAGTATAAGGAGAATTAAAAATATTGTAAACTCTAAACAAGTATTAAAATGGTCCATAAATTTCAAATCTCATAAAAGATAGTTACTTTAAAAAAAAAAAAAAAAAAAAAAAGGAGTAAAAGCATTTGGAAGAGGGACTCCTGGAGGAAAGACTAGCTCCCGAGGAACACAGGTCAAATGGGTGGGGGCGGTAATCATCTAATCATCCCTCTACCAGGTGATGCTTCAGTACCATCCCTAACAGTTTTAGACATCCTTAGAAGTGATTTAGGTAATCCGCAAATGTGTTTTGCGATACAAGAACCACGGAGATGACGCTGAAATTTCTAACTTCAAAAAGATGCACTCGTGAGAGAAAACAGGCATGAAATTCCCATATTGTAATTATTTAGCTTCCTGTAGAAAAAACACCTTCAGGCATATAAGACAGCACACTTGACACTGACCCAGCAAAGTTTTCGGCTGGCCCTCACTATCTCTCAACCCCCCCTTCCTCCACTTCCCTGCTGTTCTTTCCTGGCACACAAAATATAGGCCAATGAGCAGTGGGTGGGTGAGGAGGATGTGAGAGAAAATTTGAGAAGTAAAAAAAGGAGCAACTTAACCAGGACATGAATGAGAGACTGAAGGGTCTAACAAGGGTAGGCAGACAACAATTAGAACTACTGAAAAATGGGCTTTCCAGGGCAGTAGTGAGCGCTCAGTGCTTTTAGGGGTTTAAGCAGGGGTCAGACTACCTACCACTTGTCAGAGAGGCTGCAGAGGGGACGGCTGCTTTAGATGACCTCTAATGTCTCTTCCGACTCTGAAATGTTAGGATTCTTATTTCACAAAGGAGAACGCAATGGTCATAGAAGCCCACTGACTTGAAACCCTTTTAAATACGCAGCCTTGGAGGCTGCTTCCCAAACACCACTCCCACCTCTCCCGCACGTGCCCACCCCGCCCCCTTTCAATATTTCCACCTCCACGTGCAAACCGCCTCGCGGCACTGGCCTCAAGGCGGACAGACACCTACCCCTGCAAAGCACCAAAACTATGCTCCCCCTCCCCGCGAAGAAGAGAGGACTACTCCACTCTCCCACCCTCAGTGGCTAAAAAAGGAAAAGTCTCGGATCCAGCCTTTCCCCCCTAGCCAGAGCAGGGGGCGGGGGCAGGACGCAGAGAAAAACTTTCTTCTCGAATTTTTCTTCCAGAGGGTGGAGGAGATGGAGAGAACCCCAACGAGTCCAGGGCTGATGGGGTGGGGGGAGGGGAACCCCTGAATCGTTTAACGGCTGGAAGGGGGAGGGGGGGCTCCGGAGATTGAGGGGGCGTGGGATGGAGAAGCAGGCCAGGGAGCAGGGTCAGGGAGCTGCGGGGTTCCTGGGGTCGGGGAGCTGCAGGCGTCCCCCCCACCTGGCACACAAAGCGGCTGCCGCGCTCGGCTCTCACCAGATCCTTTGTGTTTTCCATCAGGGCCTCATGGGTAGGGGTTGTCCGTGCTCCCCGAGCCCGCGGCGCCCCCTCCCCGGGCTGGGGGCAGGTGCCTCTCCCCGGGACTGCGGCGACTACAGGGAGCCCCCGGCTGGGCCCAGACCGGTGGCGGCTGCGGCAGCCCCCGGATTTCCCCCCTTTAACTCGGGTGGCCCCAGGATATCAACAACATTAGCATAGCCCTCCCTCCCCAGCGCGCCTGCGCCGTGACCCGCGCCCCGATTGGCCCACTTCCCTACATACCCTCCTCACTCGCTTCCAGCGTGGGACCCTCTGCAGGCTCCGTACTCCAAGGACCGTACCAAGACGAGAGGTGGAAAGCGCATTGGGGCTTGTGTTAAATCCACTGGTTAAAGTCAACAGGAAAAGCAGAAGTTTCATTCAGCTGTCCGAGTGTATACTCGGGCTTTCTTGCGCTCCTTTCAATATGTTGCAGCTGCGAAGTTGTGTTGGAAAAATTTTCCACTCCAGTCACGCCGCTTCCCCCTACACCCGGAAGATTGGCCCTCCCGGAGGAACTCCCACACGGGGCGGGGCTGGGTAGGGGAGTGAGAGTTACGTAGAGGGAGGGAGTGCTGGTCACGTGGCAAGAGGCTGCGCAGGCTCCTTCCGGCCCCAGGGGCTTCGGCGGCGGCGGCCAGGGAGGTGCCTGGGCGCATGCGCAGCGAGGTTCCACGTGAGCGCCTGCGTTTCTCCTCAAACCTAACGATGCCGCCGGAACGGAGGAGACGAATGAAACTGGACCGGAAAACCGGAGCGAAGCCGAAACGGAAGCCCGGAACGAGGCCGGGCTGGAAAGCCGGAGCAGGGCCAGGCCGGCCTCCCCAAAAGCCTGCCCCTTCATCCCAGCGGAAACCGCCGGCCAGCTCACCAAATGAAGGAGAATGTTAAAGAAAACCCAGTGACAATAGTTTCAACTGACCTGTCTCAACCAGCCAGGGATAAGTACTGGTGTATG